TTCATGCCCTACGTATAAACCAATGAAATCGCAAATAGCTCAATAGATCCAATCGCATCGTTCCACCTTAGAAAATACAATATCTATTGAAAGTTGGGCGCTTTTATTGGTTGGAACCAATAATGTTAGCCACATTGTTTGCTGAGAGGCTTGTACGTCTCACAACGGAATAACGTTAGCCACATTGTTTGCCGAGCATTTTATACGTCTCACACTGGGGTAATGTTAACATGACACGATATAGTCATACCGAAGGAATACACATGTGTTATATGCCATATGAAGTTTGGTTATAAAGGGAGATAACACATATGAGGAACAGTAGTGTGAGCTAAAAAATATCTTCAAATGGAAAATAAAACTTCTGCCTGAAACGTTGCCATTTGTACTAAATACTGCCAACAGTTCTATTATTCCCAACACCTTGTGCCTGATAACAGTGAATCTGATATGAGTGACCCCATCCATTGCCTGATAACAGTGAATCTGATATGAGTGACCCCAGCCATCACAGAACATACACGCCATTTTACCCGTTATGATTTGTCAACTATTCGAGTACAGTAGCCCAAGAGTTGGCGAGGGGTGATGCTGATTAGCTGTCTTTCTTCTAGTTTATTACTTCAAAATTAGAAACGGTTAGCGCAGATAGATACTTTATTCCACATTACAGATATAGTGTTACAGTTACTACACTATATTACTATTACTAATCCCGCTCTACAGCCTCAGTGTTTGTTGATAATCTGGGTGCTACTTTCTAGACCACATTAAAAGTTCTTCCTCCTACCTGGGTCAAAATAAATAGACTTATTGGCGATCCTGCTCTTGAACACCCAACACAAAAGCAACCATGTGAAAAGCAAGAGGTTTTCAGATGTAGCCCTGCCACTTTAAGGGGCTGACCTTGTGTTTTGGTTGCCATTTTCCCCGGCGAAAATGTGAATGTTTGACATTTTTAATGAAAAAACTTGAACTTTCCCAAGAAAAACTAAAAAAAATTAGGAATAAAAATTTTCCGAAAACTGTGGAGTCATTAGTGTGGGTGGGGCTGGGTAATAACCATCCTATGACATGTTCTTGGTCCAGTGTATCATCCTGCCAAGTGTGTTTGAGATTGGTTCAAAGATCACGTTGTAATTCTCAGACAAAATTTTTTTTTTTTTTACTTTTGTGAGTATAGACACACAGGTGTATAATGTTTGCAACGGAAACTTCAAAAACTATTTAATTGCCATGCATGTTTTAAACCAGTACAGAGACTAAACACAGAACCTGTTGAAAACTTATCGAAACCTAAACTCAATACATACAATATATTGTTTTCATTTCATTTACTTAGATAAAAAATTTAGGCCTCAAAGTAGTCCTAGTTTTTCTTTTTTTTTGTGAAAGTGACCTATAGAAACTTATGGTTTTCAACCAACTTAAGTCCCACGTGTATATATTGTTTTTGTTTTCATAGAAATATGTACACAAACAGGATTTTGGAAAAGTACCGATTGCTAAACATTTTGTGAAAAAAAAAGAAACCTATTTTTGGTCTCATATAATTTTGTTGTTTTATGAGTTGTTCAGTTTTTTTTGTCAAAGAAATAGTTATAAAACCTTTAAAAAAACATATATATACATTTTCTGATCAATGAGCCTATAAAAACCTATATTTTCAGGCTACAGCTTATGCTTTTGGGTATTTGTTCCTGAAAAAGTGGATTGGGAGGTTTGAAAATGACTAAAGATAAAGGGTGTTCCCGAATATTGCATGTGCTACAGAAGTGATAGTTGAAAAACCCTTTTCGTATGATCTTCTCCGTATAACATTATTTCAACAAAGTCAAATTTAATTTAGTAAGTATTTTAAAATTTATTATTAGATTATTTATAGCGCTAATGGCTCATAAAATACCTTGATATCCAGGAACAAAATTTTAAAATGATATGAAATAAATATGCGAGTTTTATATTTTTCGAATATCCTTAACTGTTTTTTCGTGGTAATTGGCTTGGCTGCAGTAAGCTTTGATTAATTAAAACGTCAATTAAAAGCCTTTAAAAATCAGCACGCTAAGATACTGCTAGTGTGAGAGTGTAAACGTTTTTAGGGTATACATATCATATTTATAAACATAGGTTCAAAGATATACATGTGACATTTAAAAAACGTAGGTTCAGAACTATCCATGTTAAATATTTTTTAATAAACCTGTGATGAAGGAGAGAGAGTGTCTTCTTGTAAGTTTTCGACGTAATGTATAAACAAGAATTGTCTGTATACCTATGATTATTCTTTGTTATTGTGAACTTGAACCAGCCACATTACACACGCTAACAACTTCAATGCACTACCGATATTAATATATTCCACATGATGTATCTTTCTCTTTTTTTTCTATTGTACTCAAACATAAATGAAACCAGTAGTTAAGACTACTCCTTGGTGGGCCAGCGGTAAGTTTACGGACTTATAACGCAAATTTGCACTAAAACAAACACCAATGGCAGCTTAAGCATTATTAACCATGAGATAAAACATGCACATTTGTTATATTAGAATGTGTATATAACAAAAGAGTTAACCGTGATTTTAAAGCGACTTCATTTGGCACCAATAAATATAACACCCTAATTATCTGTTAAAAAGAAAGTCAGATATATATTTTCGTTTGTCTATCTCGATAATTAGGAGTTCTTAAATAGAGCAGACAAAATAAACATACCCTATTTTCAGAGAGAATTTCAATTCCAAGCTAATTTAGAAATACTTTAAAATTATTTCATCGTTGAAATCTCCATAAACTATTAATATTTTCAATTTACAATAAACAAAAACTTTGATAAATCAAATTGACAGTTTTGAAGTTTTACTATCTGACAGAAAATCGGACATGGGAAACCCTGTTTTATATTAAGTCTGAACCCTACATCTTTTTTTTATTGTTGTCTCGTTAAACAAACAGAGGGAAACCCTGTTTTGTATTAAGTCTGAACCCTACATCTTTGTATTGTTGTCTTGTACAACAAACAGAGGGAAATCCTGTTTTATATTAAGTCTGAACCCTACATCTTTGTATTGTTGTCTCGTACAACAGACAGAGGGAAACCCTGTTCTGTATTAAGTCTGAACCCTACATCTTTGTATTGTTGTCTCGTACAACAAACAGACAGATTGCATTAACTCACCAAATGAGCGTAAGTTGACCTGCGTTTAAAAAATTAAAAGAAAGTCATATTTTTATGTTCTTGATTTCAAATTATTTTGTGAAAGGTTGTGCGTTTTGAATAGGTGTAGTAGCGGTTTTGGAATCCATTTGGTTTTGTTTAATTTTTTTGTCTTTTTTTTTTCAATTCCAGCAAGCACGTGCCTTACGTATAACCAGGGGTATGTTGGATCAACCGCCAGGAGGGTCTGCAATCAAATAAAAGAGCATTCTAAAACTAAAACCTACAACACCAGTAGTATTATCAATCATAGTCTAAACGAACATAATGTTGTCCCTACCTCCAGTTCCATCCTTTATTGGCGGCAAGAATTCCAACTTAAGCTGCTAAAAACCAGCTCTTAACCAGAAGTTGAGTGCACTTCTATTACTTTACCCAGCTCTTAACCAGAAGATGAGTGCACTTCTATTACTTTACCCAGCTCTTAATCAGAAGATGAGTGCACTTCTATCACTTCACCCAGCTCTTAATCAGAAGATGAGTGCACTTCTATTACTTTACATCTTCTATTTTGAAC